TCAATACTAATGTGCCATTGTGCAGAACTTGCAGATTGTATACTGGATGAGTCCATGTCTCACGAGTGAATTATTAAAACCAGAAACTGTATCTTGCCCTGAAACCAAATATTCAATAAACAATCTGAACACATACATTTAGAATCTGTGTATACTTGTGTCACATTTCTTACATATAAGCCATTAATTGCCTTTGCCCACAATGTGTGAAGCTATACTATCAGGAAAAAAAAGGTAACAACATTTTCAGTGAAACTAGCAGAGGTGGCATGTGATTTTCTTGTGCAAAAGTACAATGGCGGCAAACGTCAGCTTTTGTAAAAGCACTTGTTTTAGAACAAGCGAAAATCAATGCGCGCGTGGATGTCATCCATAAAATTAAATCATTGTGGCGCCATGGCCAAAACGACATAACCGCGCCCGACTCTTCCCGACAAATCGGATCATGAGACCATTACTCGCGCGAGCGGCCGTCGGGAGGACTGGGATCCGGCATGATAAACTTACTGCAGGTCTACAAGTCATACGTGAGACCTGTAGTAGAGTACTGTGCCCCTGTATGGCACCCAGGACTCACTAGTTCCCAGTCAGCTCGCTTGGAGAGGATACAGAAGAGGGCACTGCGCACCATCCTGAGGGGTCAGTACGTGGACTACAACTCAGCCTTGCACACTACAGGCCTACAGTCACTCAGCAGCCGACGCACGGACTTATGCCGGAAATTTGCTTCTAAGATCAACCCTGACCTCCTCCCACCGAGAGGAAGCGAGGAGCATGGCAGGAACACTCGAAATGCTAACAAACTGAGAACTGTGAAGTGTAGGACAAATAGATACCAAAACTCTACCATACCATACCTAATCCGACTGTTAAACGAATGAATAGCAATATTATTTTCAACACAACCCTTCAGAGAAATTGAAGAAGGAAAAAATGTGATGAAAGAGTTAGGCCCGCATGTATGTCGTACTGTTCGCGAAAAATATCTATGTGTATTATATATCTATTATTTTAATCATCTTTTAATCATCTGTAACGGAGACATGAATGTTTAAGCCATGACAGAACTGATTTTAAATAGGTAAATTTAATTAACGTTTTTATATTACAACTGAATGACACTTTTAAAGTACTTGTAATGGAATCTGCAATTCAGCCAGAAGGCTGCGAGAGTTTCTTTTCTAATAAACCATTCATTCATTCAACCATTCATTCATTCATTCATAATCAAATCACGTATGTTTCGGAGTTTCGGGGTCTGTTTTCGCGGTTTGCTTCGACAAGATGTTTACCAGTCTTGTGTCTAGACCACACGCGACCTAAATCGTAATATTTTATCAGAATCTCCAAGCAGATCTTTTGGTGGATACAGGACAGTATCAAATTGGCAGGGCAGTATGCAATATGCTACCGTTTGGCTGGCGAAAAATAGATACCGGTACAAAAAAAGGAAGCACAATAAAAACCAAGATTAAGACGACAAAAAAGCCGAATCCTAAACCTCAATGTGATGTTGGACTAGAAATGGTATATTTCCTATGCATTTTACCAACACAAGTTCTTGAGTGGACATTCCAGTAAATTGTCACTTTCGAAAGCGCTACCATATCCAGATTTCAATTCTATAGTGTGATACTAGAATACGTTGAACAAAACACAACTATTTAATCTGTTTTCGTGCATAAATCCAATTTTTCCGTTTCAAAATTCAGAACGGTGCGTGGTATACTTAGTACTGTACTTAATCATGTAATATAACGCTAGGCGCTTGGAGGCGCTGCTTGATTGGCTGTACTGCTGCTTTACTGAAATCAAATCAAAGTCAATAGTAAGAAAACTATCACGAAGTCTGACGTTCTGTGTGTTTATAAAAATTATGAGGATATATTTTACTATGATTCGTAACTATTTTTTCTGTGTATATTTTAAACTGTTGAAAAGTTGAATCAAAAAGTATTATCGGTAAGTCATTTCACGATATGTGTTAATACAGGCCTTCTGTTCGTTACTGATTAACATGACTGTACACACGAGCCCGGTTAGCTCAGTCGGTAGAGCATCAGACTTTTAAGCAGCGTGTGGCGATCTGAGGGTCAGGGGTTCAAGTCCCCTATCGGGCGGGAGTTGTTTTTTTTACCTCAATTTTATATAAAATGTACATTTACGTCGATGAAGGTTAGACATCCAGGTAATATGACACGCCAAAAAGCAGTTACTCAAGCAACTGGATATGATTTTGAAAACGTCAGACGTTTCAGCTAGTATCCACTAACTTTGGTCAGTGACTGAGAGACCAGAGGAGAAATGCAGTGCTTATAAGCACTAACTGTTGATTTTATAAGCACTGCATTTCCCCTCTGGTCTCTCAGTCACTGACGGAAGGTAGTGGATACTACCTGAAACATCTGACGTTTCCAAAATCATATCCAGTTGCTTGAGTAACTGCTTTTTGACGTAATGTACATTTATATTTGGGAATCTGAATGCCTTGAATGTAATTCTAGGATCTACCCTGCAATACCAGTAATGCACGTTAGGTGGTGCTCATATTCATATGGCATTTGTATAATACTACACTTGAAACCTTGAAACAAGGACATTTATATAAAGTCCTTGCTTGAAAAGAATCTAAAGATGCTGGGCTCCAAAATACACCCATGACATAGTCTTCTGTTGGAGTAAAACTTCAAAAGGCTTCGCACAAAAATAACATCATACATTTATTGTATAATAACTGTTAGTATATAACCCTTTATTCAACAAACATTCGGACAAATTACAATATTAGTATCATTCTCACATTAATATAATGTCATGCAGGGTTCAACACAAACATTTACTGTATATCCATTTCACATTGCAAATGATATGATTTCACTTGAATCATGTATAAAAGCTCTCATACAACGAATAAATGTCAATACAATACAGTTATTTCTTCTAGACTATATATATAGCCTATCAAAACGAATGAGACAAAACAATATGCACATATTGCAATGTCTATGTTACTCATTCAAGTAAAGTAAGTAGAATAAATAGTTTCCAACACCAACTGTTATATGTACAGGTTATAAAAGCGTAATGTTGGTCATGCAATGCAGGCAACATCAACAAGTAAAGAATCATATTGCAATAAGCATAAGCATAAAATATATTGTAGTTTAAATAATAACTTCTGGCAAAGCTAAGCTTGAAAGTTATGCTGCCATACATTTAATACTTTTCATGATAAAACAGAGCAAACATACACAGTGTATGTTTTGAGAAGCATCCTTTTGACATTTCACTGAGATTGAGAGCTCTCTTTACTCCATATTCACTGATAGTAAATGTATATGAAATGCTACAGTTAGTAGATGTTATTAAATGTCACCGAATATATGTTTCACTGAAACTGGGATGACTCTAAACAATGTTAAGGAATATATAAGTCATAGTTAGAATTTCTTTGTTTCAGTCATAATTCATTTTTCTATGTCATGATTCTGTGATCACAAAAATGCCAAAAAATTTGGGATGACCACATGTTCTAATGCCCCTACATTTTGACATAGGGTTTAAGGGTTAGAATTATTGGAACATGACTGTAGGTTGAGTTGTCAGATCATAGAGGTGTCAAAACATTGGGGGCTACAGTCATTTTCACCAATAAATTATAGTTTATTTTTCCCCACTCTTGTAATAGAATTCCAAAGTACATTCATTTGTTGAAGTAGTACACTTAATTAACAAAGATCATGGGTGATTCCAATTCACTCCAATGTCGATCTTGTAATTGTTGTTGTAATTAATTAATCTGTAAGATTAATTAACACTAATTAACAAAGACCATGGGTGATGCTGACGTGGACGTGGCGCGAGTAGAACGCTGCCTGCTGATTGGTCGCTGCTGGGTCTTACTCAGACGGGTGAGTCTACTGCTGAGGTGTGGAGGGGGGGACAGCTTGTCCAGTCTCGTGCACTTCGGGAACTTTAGAACGTTCTGGATCTTGTCGAATAATGTCCTGTAGTAGGGAAAAAGTTATTTTAGTTTTCAACATCAATAAATTAGAGAAATGGGACAAATGGCCAAAGAGGATCCTCACACTAGATGTGGAGGGTCCAAACCCCCGTGGTCGCCCTAGGAGGAAATGGTACGACAACATAAAGGGAGGAACTCCACCACCTGAACTTAGACAAGATCAACCAACAGGACAGAGACAAGTGGAGTGCTGCCATCAAGCCCCAGATGTACAGCGCAAGCACGTCTAACCCTCGGAAGACGGGGAACAACGGACGATAAACCAGACAGTGAGTGAGAAAGTGAGAGTTTTCAACATTAATAAATTAGAGAAATGGGTGAACAAAGCAAAAACCTAAATAAGACCTAAGTTTGCACGGCACATCTATACAGTAGTTAAATCAAACAAAAAAAGCTGATTATATTCCTGATTGTAACTGATACACCTCAGCAAACATTATTCAATAGAAAAATAACAATTTGAGGTGACTTACTCTACGTTGGTTTTACTCTGTTCAAGGTACAGTTCTTCTAGATCCTCTTCCTTCTCTGGGAATTCTGTAGTTAAAAACTGGAAAAACATAGAAAATAGAAACATTAGTATTGGCATGTGAAACCTTGAGAGAAAAGAAATCATTTGACATTAAAAAATTATTAAAATTTGCCAATGCCACTCACCAACATACCTGTCCTTGGTGCTGAACACTATCCATTTTGTCTTCCTTATACAATATGTAATGCTACTGTAACTACTTCAAGAAGACTATAAGATTTAGGAATCCTACAACATTTGTTCCATTACCATCTTGCAATTCTGTTGCCAGCACTTCACAAAATTAATATTTTCTGTCATGATCTTTACTAAATGAGTAAAAAAACAGGAAAAACAGTCCTTTTTAAAAACTCACCATACAAACAAAATTTTACAGTGCACTACTGGATGGAATCCTTCAATATCTAATATGCTATTGAAATAGAAATATACAGAAACATCATGATTTAAACCCCACCTTGAGCCTAGTCCCCACGTTGAGCTTGATACTCTTGCCCTGCGCTGTGAAGGTTAGGTAGATGCGGTCCTGTGACATGACCCGGACGGACATGTGTCGGTTGAGTGTGAAGCAGATGGGCTGGAAGGGCGGCGCGTGCACGTGGGTCACCTGATCCTTCCAGTGCCACGCACGACGCTTCTCACCGTAAACATCGAACAGCGAACCTTCCATAGGGGTCAGGTGCATCCTGGGTAATATTTTTGAAAATTCAGTAAATTTTAAGCCTTCCTTCCCATGTTACTTTTAAATTAGATCTTAAGCGACGAGATACCTGCAATAAATTCTTATGAATGCAAATCTACATCATACTATCATAGTGACAAGTCAATGAAGGTAAGACATACAGGTAGAGCATTCTGTAATAAAATTTATGTATGAAATAAATCAAGAAACTGGATGAATTCCATGAAGATTCACTGATGTTTCAGACTTCATCAGTGGCATGAAAGATTCTTAATTACTGAAAGGAGATGATATCTGAATCTCCAAATAACTTATCCAGTTACTTGTCTCGTATTACTATATGAAGTCTACAGGATAATTCAAAACAAATTCAACAGAAATACCATCACCACACCATACCTGATGGTCCCAGTCTGGAAGTAGGAAGTTGCAAACCCAGAAGCATCAAACACAGCCAGCTGTGCCGCCCTGTCTGCTGCATCCTGGAGAAAACGAGAATCTCTTTAGTAGTAGTAGATTGACTTTTCCTTATAAGCGAAAGCAAATCAATGTGTTGAGTTTATCCCCAACCAACAGATATGATACAGTATTTAACTACCCTTTGCAAAATCATAGTCTGAGAGTAGAATTTCAGATAATCATCTAGATTTAATGTATCTTTTAAAGTTTTAAGAAACAGGAGAATGACTTGATTGTTAAATGCTTACCTCCTGAATGATGTAGGTGTACTGTTTCTTCTCTACTGAACTGATGGTGACAGCCAGAGAGCCTGACGGGTAACTTTGCTAGGGTTAAGGGCAAAACTCACTTTGTTTGCTGTTTCTGAGTGTTATTACATGTAACGCAAAGACAATAGATACAGAAAAATGTAAAGACAGCACTAGAAAGGATACTAGACGTTCCCGGTGCCATCTGGGAAGAGCATGAAGAACAGAGTTCCATCATCATAGTATCTCATCACCAGGCCAAGCTCGTTTTTCTGTGAAAGAAAACAACAAATCATTAAACAAATTTTTGCACAACTTTACCTCGCAGCAGTTGGCTACTAATATCAAAATGTGAAACTCCGAGAGCTTACTAACAGAGAAAAGGACACAGTGAAACGAAATGAAGAAAGACAGATTGCACTCAGAGGCTGTTTCAACTATGAGCCATAAAACACAATGAAGATATCTACATCAAACTGATAATCTTTGAGTTAGTGAGATTGTTTTCAATTGTTCTATGACTGAAAATTTGACCTATTCTATATACATGAATGTACTAATATTGAATGACTCACCTTAAGAGCCAGAGTGTTATCAATTGCTCTAAACTGAAATTTTCTGCTGCCCTATATGTATGTACATAAGAATGAGCTATTCTACATGATTGTATGTACTAATGCTGAAAGACTCACCCTCTGAGCCAGAGAGTTTTCAATTGTTCTAAGAATGACAATTTTACCTGTTCTACTATGTAATATTCAAAATGTTGAATATCTCAACCCTCTGAGCCAGTGTGTTTTCGACTGTTTTGTGAATGAGTTGTTCTATGTGATTGTAAGTAATAATATTGAATATCTCACCCTCTGAGCCAGAGTGTTTTCGATGGGTCCTGGACAGTAGATCTCCTCCGGAGGTGGGAGTTCCTCCATGGGTGATGAGGGTCGGATTGTCCAGCCTTCGTCCATGCACTTCTGGGATGACAGCTGGTAGTTTATCGTCTTCATCTGACGCGCAACTGGAGATGGAGAATACAAGTAACAGAGTTATCAACCAGGGGTTGAGGTGTTCAAGAATTTAAGAATACATCTTGTCCAATAGTGGTTGAACACCTCACACACGCACGCACACACACATACACCTCACACATACATGTATACACACACTAATTAAGTGTGTGATAAACCGGACAGTGAGTGTGAGTGAATTATATCTAGTTTATCATTGGTTGTTCCCCATTCATTCAGGAGGGTTCGATGTACTTGCATGTAGGCACTGAGGCTTGATCGCAGCAATTCTTGTCAACTTTACTGTAATGTAACTTACAGTTTGTCTCTATTACTATGCAGGGATGTACAAAATAGCCAACATGTGTTGCCACTGACCAATGGTGATAATATGTACATCAATTATTCTACTAATTTTTCATACTTACAGGCAAAGAAGTTAGCCTGGTTCATCCCTGCCAGGTTCTTCTGTCTCTCAGCCTCCCGTTCTTTCATTCTGGGGAAAAAAAAGAGTCAAAAGTCACACAACAAAACTTAATTACAACATCAACTTGTCCAAGCGCTAATTACCAGGACTGTAAATTTTGTAACAAGCTAATAAGGTATGGAGATGTAATTATTTAATCAACTTACACCAGCTATGAAAGTAAGAAAAAAGACTTTACTCCACAGCAAAGACAACTGACTAATGCATTGTTGTGTCCCATATTAAATGTAGGATAACAATAAAATTTTTATGGGTTTCTATCAGTGGACTACTTGTTGTTTCTAAAAGTGGACAACTTGCCAAACCAAACCAAACCAACCAAAAACCAAACTAGTACATACCTTTGTGCCGCTCTCTCCTTGGCCGCTCTCCGTGCCTGTTTGCTGCCAAACGGTGCGTGAGGCTTGATGTCGATTTTCACCGGAGCCGTGTCCTCCGACTTGGACTTCTCCTCGTACATGAAGAGCAGGAACTGGTGATAGTCTTCACAGCAATACAACTGGTGGGGATAGAAGAAATAAGGGAACAATTCAAAACCAACATTCACTGCTATCTCCTAGCATTCAGTCACTGATACAGGGGTCTCCCCATAAGTTCTGAATGTAGAGGTGCTCCCTAATCGGTTGATGAAAAATCTGCACATTTTCATGTAAATAATAAGAGAAAACTCTAAATTTAAACATTTTGGGAGTGGTGCTAGGATTTTGGGAAGAGGGGGAGCACCCTTGCTTCATTGCTTGGTGAGAGCCCTGCTATACCTTAAACAATCTAACAAAACCTACCAGCAACAAACCAGCCAACGGCTTCTGGTAGAAAATAAAACCCCAGGGCCTCTAGAGCTGCTTAGTAAGTATTCTGGAGTGAGTTCCTTGTGATCAAGTACAGTAAGTGGCCTCTCATGTGCTTAGTTTAAAGTGCACTTTGCCATCGGCTCAGGTATGACAAGTTGTTACATGTAACACAAGAAGGCTCTACAGTAGTACTTGTGAAACTGGTGGGTGTTAACATTGTAGTAGGGTGGTTATAGTATAGCGGTCAAGGAAAACATAATTAAACATTTTTCATAACTTAGTACCCTAGTAGTATGGAAAAATATGACAATGGCAAGCAAAAACTAACTCAAATCATGCATAATGTTTACCTTTGCATATAGTCTGCTCTTACTATATTACTAACTACAGCTCTGTTAATTCTTACTTCAACTCATTATTCATATACATGGTGACAGGAGTCTAAATCCCTCCTACTATAAAACTGCAACATGATGTAACCCAACACCAGTTACCATGGTGACAGATGTCTGGTTCAGGTCATTGACCTTAATCGTTTGGAGAAGAAGAAGAAACAGAGCAAAAACAATACGTTTTTCTTTTGGTAAACATAAAAAACCCCTACCTGTGCAGGATCTCCTGTTTCGAGTTGGTCCTTAGTGGGAATGGGTTTGATCTTCTTGTGGCAGTATTCGCACACCCCCTGGAACAGACTCCCCTCTCCAGTACCCCCCTCCTCGTCACTCGTGCCAGCCTTCAGTTCCTGCAGTTGCTAAGGGAAACGGAAGGAGGGGGTGGTGTAAGGTGGGGAGCGTGCATTATTGGGCCAGGGGGAGGGACCACGATTAAGACATACAGTATAAGAGGTAGGGATAATACATTATTGGGCCAGGGGGAGGGACCACAATAGTATTGTACAAGATTTGTTTTAAGGGTGGGATGGGGTGGGGGGTTGGGGGAAACACAGCAAACATCAGTGATCTGCAAGCTTAGAAATGATTGTTGAAAATTAGCAGAATTTCAAGTTGTCCATTGTCCATTTCAATATCTATTTTGAACCATCATAAATCTAATATCATAAATATTATAATAAATATGCCATATACTGGATAGTAGCCGAGACACTTGACATATTGACATTATGGAGTAATGGCTGCATAACCATAAATTAACCTTCACAATGTCAACAGATGTTAACATCTTAAAGGGCAATTTATGGTTATGTAAGATATGATAAATGTAATAAATGTACAATATAATGCTCAGAAAGAAACGACCCTCTACAGACTGACTCGCCTGGCCTATTTTACTCCTTAGCTTTTTGCCGAATTGTATGATCCATATTTCTACAGAAAGGCCTGGTGGAGGCTAAAACGTTACCTCAAAGTTGATGTCAGGTTTCTTGGTCTCTCGTTGGTACTCCAGGATGGCGGGCGGCCCGATGCTCGGGAGCATGGCCTCCTGGGATACCGTGTCGTTCTGCATGGAGTACCCAAACTCGTTTTCATCCTTTAGGGGAAAGAAATGGGAGTGGAAATTAGTCGTTTCTAATTTCAACCTTTAGCATGCTAACTTAATGGCACCAGATATTGGTTATGGGGTCTGGCAACAGGGATCGGGAGAAGGTTGACTTGAAACTTGTGAAAGTGGTTTAACTGTGTACTACTAGACAGTTTCATTGGGATGGCAAATCAATTCAACATTATGGTAGTTTTGCTGGTACAGTTCACCTTAGCTTCATAATTTTTTCTTGGTGGAAGGTTGTGTACTATTGTACCTAAACTGAAGTTCTTTAGGCTTTTACAGATTGTTTGCCCTAAAAAGTAAAACTACGAGTCTGTGTTATACAATCTCTTGCTGCCACTGGGACCAATTTGTCCCCCTCTCTTGTTAATGGGGTTAGGCAGCAGGGAGAAGGTTACTTTAAGTGGTTTAACTGATACAAAAGATTTCTGCTGGCCCCTCTAACTGTATTTACAGTAAACAAGAACCAAGCTAAGGTTTTCTATGGAAAAATGAAACTGATCCTCCAAGAACGTAAAACTGGCCTGATAACCTTACAGGATCAAGTCATGTTAGACACTGGGGTTTGGTCAAACTGGTTACAGTAACAATAGAAAGGTACACAAAGGACAAAGTTCAATTCTCCAAAGAGTTTTGCTGTATATATATATAAGAGCCTCTTGCTTAAACCTCTTCTTAAACAAAAACTGCCCTTTAAAATATCCTTACATGTTGCAGGATAAAGTCATGTAAGGCTGACTGGGCTTTGGTCAAACTGGTTACAGTAAAATAAACAATAGAACTAAGACTGACTTCAGAAAAACAATCCTATAACAACAAACAATTATTGTAGTGGCTTAAAATTCAAGTATGCTGTTGCCATAGTGAGAGGTAGTGTTGTTTCCTTTTATAGAGAGGAAAAAAGACAACTAAGGAATAAAATCTAAACATTTTAGTGTGCTAAATCTCTTTCAGTGAGTGCTCAAAGTACAATGCAAGAATTGAATAAATACGTTTTGGGTTTTGTATTTTTTATCTGTTATTTTTACCTCTCATATTCTCTTTGACCATTACCAACATCACTGAAGATATACATGAATTGCAGTAAGGTTGCAGGACTCACCTCGGAGCTTGAGCTGAGATCTAGCATGGGGATCTCGTGATCCAGTGGCTGGGGTTTGATCTCGGGGATGGATCCAGATCCAGATTTCTCGGCCAGTTCGTCCTCCTCCGACTCTGAGATGCTGCTGGTCCGGGTGCGGTGACTGGACTGACTCAGGGACGATGTGCGACGCTTCTTACCACCACGCTTCTTCAGCTTAGGGGGACCTGGGGGGGTGGGGGTTGTAAAATCAGATTGAAATTCCTTTTTTTAACCTTAGGTAGACATGTGGCACGAATTGACAACCTTTTGACTGCTGGCTAATCCAATATTAGAGTTAGTCAGAAGTGTACATTTGTACTTAGTATTTACCAAATATAACCAGACTTACAGACCATAATAACATAATGTAGATGCAGTTAAAAAAACTGACACTGTGATGATAACAACTTATAATGCTAGCAGTATCATAACAAGAAAACTGAATTCTATTTAATTCTAAAAGGCAAGATTTAATAATGAATGTACTTTTCTATTGACCTGAAAGTGCTTCAAAGACAAGTGGCTGCCAATGAGAACTGGAAAAGACAATTGAAAGGATTTTCTGTTGACTAACCTGGAGGCTCCATCTCTCGCTGCTTTTCTTCTATCTCACCCAACAAGGTTGCACCTGAAGTGAGCAGATATACACACAGTTATATATCAAATGTTATACAAGAAAACTGAGAATTTATGACTATACTGCCAGTACATTTTATATTATGAAACAACTGAAAGCATTGTGTACTTTGCATGTATGTAGCTCCTAACATAAACTGCCTTACTTTGAATCTCTGACGGGTCCTTGCTTGCCCGGCCGACTGACCGCATGTCCTCCAGCCAGCTCCACTCGGTCTGAGTGGCCTCAGTCACCAGCTGGACATCCGACCTGTCCACCGCGGTCTGGTGGACTAGTGGCTTCTGGGGTTTGGTACTAGGGACAAACGGGTAAAATTAATGTCGGTGAAGGTTAGACACCCAGGTAATGAGATATGCCAAAAAGCAGTTACTCAAGCAACTGGATATGATTTTGGAAACGGTCAGACGTTTCAGCTAGTGTCCACTACCTTTTGTCAGTGACACTAAGAGACCAGAGGAGAAATGCAGGTTTATAAGCACAAAAAATTAACGATTTGCAAAGGATATTATTGACTTTGCTTAGGGAAGACATACATTAAAACATGAGAAAACCAAAAGTCTCAAACTAAACACACAAGTAAAATTTATCAACAGCTCTAATGTTTGATCTACATTTTTTATAGAGATTCTTAGAAAAGAATATCTATAGTATAAACTATGTTCTTTGACTTCTTAAAACTATAGTTTCTTACTACATATATATATTATCTTAAGACATAAATGCTAGATTGTTAACTCACCTTTGAGAACTACTAACTGCATCCTGGGATAGGTCTGACTCTCTTCTAAAGGAGAGGATTCTGGGAGCGGAACCTGAAAAACATTTTAAATTTTTAAGAAAAAGCAAAACAAGTAGATCTACAGATGTTTAAAAATTGACATCAATTTCTTTTTCCACTTGTATTCACTTAAAATGTCTACTTCTAGAAGTTCTAGTAGATTTCCCGTGTCCTTACCAGATCTAGATTTTCCTGTAGTTCCTGACTTCTCAGATATTTCTGTACCGATGACAGTAGACTCTTCCTTTTCCTCAGACTTGTTCTCTACATCACTCGCTACTTGACTGGAACTGCCAACGCCGATGGGAGGCAGGGGTTTGGGGCTGTCCTTCCCGCCTGGTATACTCTTCGCACTCGAAGTCCGTTTCCCGTTAATCGGGGTGAGAACCGGCGTGCGGCGGCTTGCTCGCGATGACCGTGATTCGCTCTCCCGCCTTAGCTGACGCTCGAACTCCTGCACGTTCTCCACGGTGAGCTGGGAGTGAGCGCGCTCCTCGGTCGGGGCATCAAACTCCCCGTCTGCGTCGTCCCCGTCGGAGACGCCCAGCTCCGTGGCGTCCTGCGTCGCCGTGTCCTCGTACGTGTCACTCATGATTCTGGGGACTGGAGAGGCTGGGGGGGGGGGGGAGGAGGTAAAACGAGGGTGTTACCGGTACTCAAACAAGTGAGAGAATTTATAATACTTTTTTCCATGTTCTGAAATATTGCAGTGGAGTCAAAATTTTGTTCTGCCATTTAAAAACACTTTCTGCAAATACACAAGCTTCCATACTACAACCTTCTCAACATGAGAATGCAAAGTTACAGATTGTTGGATTTTTCTTCTGCAATATTGTAAATCTCTCTCTTCTTTTATTAATTTCTCCCTTCTCACAAACTTAAATATTTTACAGCAGCTATGGATGAGTACGTAAGGTATAATATAGATAAACTTATCAGTAGATGGGTTAGTACGCAAGGTATTCTCATTGCTGGACAACTTCAAGACCATGTGAGTGGACTCTTGTGGTTTAGTAACCCAACTCCACAGCTGATATTTACATAAAATACAGTACACTGGAATATTTACATATAAACAGAACATGAGATATGGCCTTCTTTCCAACAAGTAACTAAATACTGCATCTTTACAGCAATGTTTAAGCAGATTTTTCCTCTGTTAATAAGATTTTCTGCTTTACTTTGGCACTTTTTAATCTGGAAATGTCAAGATTAGTTCCGCTCTAGATCTGACGTAAACACAAGTAAATAACTGCAGAAAAACACGGAAATTTCCCTTACAAAACCCAACTCTGTCTTATTTGACCTGGGGTACTAAAAATCCTTGCTAGACATTTTGCTAACACAATAGTCTGGATAAGTTTAGACCCCATTTTTGTATTGTAGACCTGCCAAACGTTCTCGCTTACTCTAAAGATCAGAATGAATGAATGAGTTTTTGATGACCCTTAACTATCAAAACAGAGGGTCGTTATATCGAGTTTGACAGCGAAAGTGGCCTCGTTTCTCGACCAAAACGGTCAGAATTGATTACGGTACGTATCTCTACCACTTACTCGGCATTTTGAAGCTGTACGGTCCGAAATAACTGCAGAAAACGCCTTTGATCACAGCCAACTCGCGACGTCTGTATCTTAGTGCAAACAGCCCCCCTCCCTCTTGAAAATAAACACACGAAAACCAGGGCGACAAGACGAATTAGACCACTCAAACCACAGACAACAGCTTCGTGTCATCTCACCACAAACTGATGGCCCCATTACACGCACCTTTTGTGGTTTATCTAGTAGAAATCCGCTGAAAAATCGATCGGAGTCCATCCTTAGCCATTACCCCGGCCGCAAAGTCACGCACGACGCCATTGTTTGACGTTGCTGGGAGAAATAGACGTCACGTGATCAGCAGGACGCCGCGCGATTGGTCAGAAGTAGGGAGGGGCGTGTCATAAATCTTTTTGGGAAGGTGTGAAGGAGTTTTTAAGAATGCTGGAATCCTACTTAAGAATTGCAGCGGAATGCACATTTTTACATAAGTTTTCAAGCAAATCTTAGTCTACACACCTTTCTTTGTAGTCAAAATATATGTCATTAAGGAAAAAGAGTTCATCTTTGTAAGTTTTCTAACCTGTTTAGGGTAGAACGGTACTCTGCTAAACTCCTTAAATACCCTTGGTCGGTAAACTTTTGAAGAAAGACCCGACAACGGCCCGCCATAGAAAGAAGACATTTAGAAAAGCAAAGACTTCTCTACAGCAGTTTGACTTGTATCTTGGTGTATCTAGACGTGTAAATATTCAACAGCAATCAGCCAAGAAATATAACTAACACTTCCTAGCACACATGCGCCCATATCCCGAAATATTCTGTATTTACCAAGCTTCATAGCAACCCTACTATGTCATGCCTATTCTTAACTTTAAGTGTGTGTTTAATTAGCACTATCATTCTCTACTTAGATCGATATCTTTTGTGATGTAAGTTGTCTGAGTGGAAACCGACAAGACTGTATTTGGGATGCCAAAGTCTCCGTGTACATTTTGTCATGCGGTGTGACGCTCTGTTTGTGTTTCTTATCTTGTGTGCCGTTTAGAAACGTGCGACAAACAAAGGCACAGTTATCGCCAGTTCCTGTTCTTTCGTGCCAGGTACCTACTACGTCATCTCCAAGCAGATATGTGGAGGTATAAGCTCGTTTTGCTCGTTTAATGAGAGTTTTTTGCTAGCCTCTACCAGGCTTCGGGAGGCGGCTAGAAAGAGTAGAAATCGGCCAAATAGAGAGATAACATGCCTCTGGAGTTGGTCTGCATGCTGGAGATAACAGTTTGCTGCTCCCGAAGCCTGGTAGAGGCTACACCACTTGAATGATACACGTTCGCATTTTTAGCCAGGTACAGCACTGGCTATCCTTTACTCTTCCGGAAAAATGGGTTGTCTTACGTCCAAAGAGAGAAAATAAAAACGTATAAGAACGACTCCGAAATTTAACCGCATGTCCTCTTAGAGATTGTTACTCCAGTGCTAGACTCTTAACCGGTGTAGGTAAAACTAAAAGGAATTTTTTGTTTGGCGGGGGGGGGGGGGGGTAGGGTTAGTGGGTCAGGTTTAGTCGTAGTAAAGTGACAGGAAACTTTTTCAAAGGGTCGTCTGAACTGTCATGTTTCGGTGACTTCAGATCTACCTGGCCACCTGTCGGGGGTTCTTCCGGTAAGGAAGCAAACGGACGGAAGCAGTCATGGGAAAACAACCAAAACTTTTGCGCCTCGTTTATTTGTGTTCTGAATACAAACATGTGTCATACCACCTGCTAGTTCGTGTTGGTAAACAAATGACACATGACAAACTACAACAAGTCTGGTTCCAGTTAAGCTGAGAGCATTTCCGAACAATTCGGAAGTAACTTCCTTCAAGCAATGGTCTGCAACTCTCTATTTGTGAACATACATTTCTTACCACCTGCTCATGCGGGTAAACAAATGACAAAAAGCATTTGACGGAAAATGAATAAAAGCAAACTACAAAACGTCTGGTTCCAGTTAGGCTGAGCGCATTTCCGAAACGTTCGGAAGTAAACTTCCTTGAAGAAATGGACTACTACATCTCTATCTTTGTGAATACATTTCTTATCACCTGCTTATGTTGATAAACAAATGACCCACACACAGCAAACAAACTACAAAACGTCTGGTTCCAGTGAAGCTGAGAGCCTTTCCAAACACTTCGGAAGTAAACTTCCTCGTAACAAAGAAGCTGCAGACATTTCTTTATTTGTAAAGACAAACATATTTGTGGCACCTGTTCATTCGTGTAAATAGATGACAAACTTTAAAGTACAGAATGTCTGGTCCGAAGTGTTGACCATTTCATGGGTTTGTCTAGGTACGTTTGTGGTCTGAGTGAAATCAACAATAAGACAGAAGACGGTTCCTTTAATAAGGGGCCTGTATGTCCTTTTTCGTAAGGTATAATCAGGCCTTTTTAGTCTTCGTATTCCGTAGACAGCCTCCCAAAATAATCGTAATTTATAATCAGCACATTAGCCGTAACGTGTATACTTGTCCGTAATCAGCTCTGAGAATTCAACGTAATTCGTAATCGACGGCGAAAATTTTCGTAAATACCCCCCACCCCCACCCCCACATGCGGGCCCTCTTTGATCTTAAGCTGTACACGCGTTCTTAATATTTACGTATTTTCTTAGTATTTACGCGAGGAGCAGTCTTCAGAACCGCGTAAACTTCCTCAGAACGGAAACTGAGCACGGGGCATGAGAGAGATGCCGTCCCACTTCCCTTCTATTCTCCTTACTGACGAATTCTCGCCGCACACTTGAGTGATTCACTAAATGTTCATGTTAGACAGTTTCTTGTTATACGGTTGGTTCGTGCATTGCATTGGCTGTTACAGTGTTCGAGCCATTTCGTACTGAAATTGTTGACAGATTTTGAACACAAATTTTGAAATAAGGTTTAGAGTTGCGAACGTGGACTACAACTAGTGTGAAAAGCCTAGCCTCTAGCAGGCTTCGGGAGGTGGTTGGAAAGCTAGAGTAGAAATCAGCCGAATAGAGACATGCCTGGGGAGTTAACGTTGTACAACTGTGCTCTCTAGCGGACCAACTCCCCCGACATGTTATCTCTCTCTCTATTTGAACAATTTCTACTCTCTACAGCCGCCCCCTGAAGCCTGGTAGAGACTATGAAAAGTCGGTAGTCGACGAAAATCACTAAGGATTGCTTACCGCTCATATGAGCGCTAGCGCAAACTTGTCAATCCATTCATTCATTGTAAAGAAGATATGCATCAAAACCAGATGGGGCAAGGACACCTTTGATCTGTGATATTCTACCGGCACCCTTCCATGTCCTTGGTCAAATTCTTTATAGAGCCTTTCATTCCACAAACAGGAGAATATTCAAATGTAACAATACATGCATAATTTTAGAATCTAGAATCAAAAACCCTTCATGGTAATGGCATCCTAACAGTTGCACTCAGAGATCATTTGTGATACAACAACATACCATGGTCTGCATAATAGTTCTACCAGGCCCCAAATATTTGGAAAGACGAACTCTGTTTTCCCTCTATTTGTCTCCCTTACCCTTGGACAGACGGCCACGAAGTCTCGGCTAGTCAAAGCTTTCGTCTCCACTTTAATCCAAGCTAACATTACACCAACCTTGGATAGCCTGGATGCCACTGGATATTAGTCTCTACCAGACTAACTACGCTGGCTATATATAGGAGAATATTTGCCGGGGGAGTTTGGTCGCCTTGTAGGTTTGACTGGCCGCGCAGTCGGAGGGAAAGAAACTACGTCCCCGCAGCCGGACTCCCGCGGCCAATTTTACTCTCTTTTTTGCCGAATTCTACGATCCGTATTCCCGTAGAAAGGCCTGTTGGAGGCTAACTGGATATATTACTTTGGGCCCAGTGTAGTATAGGGGGGCCCCCAAGCCCTTTTCCGTAGAGCGTAATCGGCCGTTTTAATTCTACGTAGAGCGTAGACGGACCCTCTAATTCAACGTAGAGCGTAATTGGCGCATTTGGCGTAGAGCGTAATTCGCTGTTTTAATTCTACGTAATGCGTTGTAGCTATCGGGAATTAACCGTAAAGCGTAATCGATTAATTGTGCGTAGAGCGTAATCCAAGCCGCAAACGGGAACTCGAGGCCTCGCAAGTGCCGGGTTGTCGCGGTGCTCGAGGTCTTTCTTGCTCTACCCCCCTCTATACAATCGAACAATCCACTAGACTTGTTCCCAGAGCCATACACAAGAACAAGGCAACACATGGGAATGATCCCACAGTGCGCTGGGTACGAGATTGACCTTACCATCGGTGACGTACAGGAGGACCAATTGGCCAAACGCCACAGATACGCCACTTGTAAGGCCCAATAGGGGCCCTCAAGACGTTTCTTAGCGGGAACATCATTGCTGATCAATGGCCAGGGTAATGGAGGACACT